ACGTGTTAATTGAACTAGATAGAGACAGAGCACGCAAGTACTCGCGCGATGCGCTTTCTATTCGTAAGAAGAAAGGAAGCTGTACGCGCGCGATATATCGCGGTCGAAGAAGCGTGGCTTATCAGCGGTATCTTTGTAAGATGAGCGTTCGCTACGCGTTGATAATCAACGGATACGGTTTCTTCGGATGAGATACTCGTATATACGTAGGTTTCATTAACGGCCATATTCCACGGGTTCGGGCCGGCTGAGCATCAGCGCTGGCCAATTCCACGTGCGTCACGCGATGACATCATTCTTATTTGGCCACTACGCGCGCGCGCGCATTACCTACACCCGCGCATATACACTTTTACGAATACGCACGCGCAGATGTATATGTCGGTTATGATTGTTTATTGATAAGGGAACGCACGAACGTTGATCCATGATTAGAAGCGGATTTCTCATAGGTTTTCTTTCGGATCAGCTGATTGTCAAAGTCCGTTCGCGAATAAAACGCTGTAAAGTACTATTGGAAAAAAAAGAATCGGAACTAACGCATGAAGCTCGTATATGAAGAATTTCGAATTACTTATTAATTCGTCCGTTAATTCGAATCTTTACTCCTTTGAACGTCATCACCGAGAAATCCCGTCTCCGCGTCCTTGAATTCCTCCGTAAAAGAAAGGAGAGGGATAGGAAGTATAAGAGACCATTTCATTTCGCAAGCAATTGGGGGAGGGAGGGGAATTCTTGACGCCGGCATTTATTTTATCCGGCTGATAAGCCGGTTAATGACACACTACGTGCACGCACGCATCTCTCACGCATCAGCGTGAAATTGGTTCGTCGCTTAAGAAGAAAAAAGATCTGCACAATTGGAAAAATGTAGATACGTAAATTTCGTGTATATTAATCCTTCGCGATTATGATGTAATTATTAAATAGATATCCAATTCTTCTCTCTTGTAACGATAAAAAATTTCGAAAGATTACTTTCTATAATATTTGAAAACTACATCTTTTTTTTTATATCAAATAACTAATTTTTATTCTTTACGCTAAAATTTATGCAACTATTTATTTTTCTGATATTTCCGTTTTTTTTTTTTTGCAATAGTCGACGGAATTGCGAATTCTTTAATTCGAACGGTCTTAAAACGCAAAGAGAATTGTAGATTCGAGAAATACTTTGAGCATTTTCATTTCTTTAAATTTTGACAAATGTCGCAACACAACGTGATTACGACAAAAAACGGCAAATGCAACGAAACGATGGAGGGACAGCCGCTTATTTATATATTTTCCAACCCTTTCCGTCATCCACCTACAAGTGACGGCGGTACGAAGCGAGAACCGTGAAGTGTGCGCAAAGTTCCTTCTACAGGTCCGTGACGTGCGCGGTGCGCGCCGGTAACACGTGATTCGCCGGTTTCGGAAGCAGGGCTGGAGCGAGGCGTCATGAGTGGCGGGCGCCACGCGGCCCCGAAAGCGGTGGCGAATTTCCAAATGGATCCAGTTGAATCATTTCGTGGATCTCACCGCGGTTTTTACGATCAATGGTTATCGCTTGACTCGTGAAAATCAATTGGAATTCGCAAACATTTTTTTCGGTAGAAATCTAGACCGTCAAATACACGTTCTTTTGCATCTTTAGATTTTTCTGTTCTTTGTTCCTTTTTTCTCCATATTATTTAGACACTTACAATAGAAGAAATATTAGGAACAGGACAAATATTAAATAGAAATAAAGAAATTAGGAATAGAGGTTAAATATAACGCACAATAGATAAGGCATTTATATCTTTACATCTTATTTGTTTTCATTGCGTATTTAATCATTTAAGCTCTATTTCTGATTTTTTACTTTTAATATTTAATATTTATTTGTATTCTTAATATTTCTTTCACTATATGCTTTATCCTTTTAATTTTTTAGTGCAGGAGGTGCAACATATGGATAAGATGTAGATAATATGTTGGAATTGAGTAATTTTAATATCTGTTAACGCAAATATAATTTATTGTTATTAAATATGCTTATAAGAATCATTTCTTTGGAAAAAGTCATATAATTATAATCAATTAATTAATCTTTATTTTCGATTTACCGTCACGTTACAAGACATGTTAAGAATAATAAAGACATATAAAAAAATAGTATTTGCGTGAAATCAATGTCCGTTTATCCTAATAAATTAAAAATCATTGACCCGGTTTCGCGAAACTACAATCGTCCCTAAGTACACTAGCGCTTGGTACGTCCCTGAGACGAGCTGAAGTTGCCGCCGTCGCCGCTCAGCCCCACCACCTCGGCCATTCGCCGTACACTCAACAGATTGAGGTGTGGCCATCGAGGGCAGCCATTTTCTTGATTTTCTGTCGCAAGATTTCAGGTAAATACGCAAATATATCTTAAATTAACGCCGACCAGAGTGGTGAGAGGGTGCGTGGTGCGTCGTGTGCGCGGACGTCGCGAGCATTTTCCGGGCGCGTTGGAGATCCCACCGGGACGTCGGGCTCCTCTAATACGGTGCTAAAAAGAGGGGAAAAAAAAAGGAGCCGCCTTCTCCGTGAGGGAGAGAGAGAGAGAGAGAGAGAGAGAAGGAGAAAGCGAGACGAGGATAAGTAGACGGGGAGGGGGAGAAAAAGAGAGAGAAAGAGAGAGAGCAGGTCGCGCCAGCTCTCGAGGGAGTGCCATGCGTCGCGAATCTCGTCCGCTTGGTATCGTCGCACGGCGAGGCGCGCTCTGAAGTTCGAATAAACGGGTGTCTTGACTCAGCTCGCAAGTTCAATTCCGCGACTCAGCTCGCAAGTTCGGTCGTGCGCTTGCGATTCGTGCTTAGTCTACGTCCACGTCGTCATCGTTATCTTGGTCGTCGCCGTCACCGCCGCCGCCACACCACTGCCGCGGAGCCGAGCAAGTAAATCCGTGCGACGGAATTCTTGGAATGTTCTCGGGCTCTACCTGACGCTACGTGGCCGTTTAGTCCAGTAAGTAAACGTCTCTTTCGCTCTCTCTTTCTCTTTCTCTCTTTCTCTTTCTATTGCCGCGACGATTGTTCCGTGTGTATCCTGTTACGCCACACCACGCACTCTCGTGCCGTCGCTCCCCTTTTCTTCCTTCCCCCGAGTTCTCGCGAGTGGTGCGAGCTCTTCTAGAAAAGGAAAACCGTATGAGTGCAGTTAAAAGGAACAGACACCTTGTGCTTTTATCGCTTCGCCTCTCTCGACCAGCCCTCTCTTCCCCTTTCTTTTCTCTCTCTCCCCCCCCATCTCCCTCTCTCCCGCCCCTCCCCTCCTCCCCATCCCGAAATCCTCCATGCCAAAATCGTAATTGTGTGGCTGATCTACGATCGGCTGACTCGTGACAGCGGTCTCGATCGTGCCGGATGTTGCCCGATGACGACGTTTCTTCTCCCTCCGCCCCCACGTAAACAAATTCTGAGGTACGTGCGCGCTTCTGACGTGACGCGATTGCGCCGCGAACGTGCTCAGCATCGGGGAGATTCCGGAGATCTAAGTTCCATTCTCGATTCCGCTCTCGCACCACGCTCCGCTTTCTCATCCGCGCAAAGATCCTCGAAGGATTTTCGCGACCGCGGTGAAGACGAAAGAAGACAGAGAGAGAGAGAGAGGAGAAGAGAATCCGCGACGGCTAAAAGGAACG